CACACATACTTATAAATCTATCTAAGTTCTCTCCTACATTCACATCAAAACCATGTTGCATTCTCTTTAACCCCTTGGAGATGGAGCTTCATTTGGAGTTTAAGTGCCCAGAAGATGGAGTCCTTTTCACAAGCCCTCCCTTGGAACACAAATAAAAGCGATATTAAATCACAGAACACAGCAAACTATCATAGAAACAGCCATTGAAAGACCTAGATGTGCAAAAAATGCAAGAAGCAATCTGATTGGCTGGTATGAAAACCTCAATCAAGACTTGTATTAATGGATCAGTTCAGTTGGCTTCTTTGTCATTCAACTTTTCAGCCAATAGATTAACCCTTAGGAGATGACAAGGCTAATGTCAAAATTGGAGACATCTTGAACCCCATGAAACAACAGATCCCAAATACCTGTCAAAAACATCTTATATAAAAACAGTTTTAACAGTTGCCATTTTTTATTCTCTCACTAATCAAATTTTTAGCACCACAAAACATTAAAGAAAACCCATTAAATGTCAGAGTTTCATTTTAACATGAATACAGAATACAACAATATTTTTTGTTCACTGAGTTATCAAATGAAATATGTGCTTAGTATATCTCAGAGTAAAGACAGAGGGATTTAAATCAATAGAATAAAGGGTTAATAGACAGTTTTTAGTGTGAAAGGAATTTTAAAACATTTGAATGAAATTTAAAATCATACAAAGTTTGGTTCACATACACATATATACTTATGAAATATGGAAAGTTAAAAAAAATGTATTTCAATGGTGATGTAAGAAGAAAACATCTATTAAGTAAAAATATTAAAAAATTTGAATTCATTTATAAACAGTTAACTAACAATCATAAAAGTGGATGAAACTGAAAAATAATCTTGTTAATTTCATTATATATTAGGTTTTTTTTTTTTTTAATGCCAGGAGCCTTCAAGGTGTAGGCAATCCTGTCTCTTCACACATTTCTTTTTCTTTATTATCTGTGAATTGCAGTGCATTCATTGGATAGTGATTCTTTGTTGTTTTCTTCATGGTTTAGACAGGTTGCTACCTAAGGCTAGAGAGATGTCTACCCTGCTATTTAACCCATAGCTGGAGACAGAAGAAATGGATTCATGATTTTCCTAAAGACATTTGTGTGAAAGACAATGCAACAGAATAAACTTGGAATTCAGATCAATGATTCCACATTTCCTGTTGATAACCACTATCAGTCAGTTACGTGTCATTGTGATACACATTTAGGTGATCATGTATCTTTTGATACATGACTGACGAGGCAAATTTTTTCCTGCAGAAGGTTGTCATTTCTTTCTGCAGTAGACCAGTTGACAACCAAGGCTGTCCTGCTATTTATCCATAGCCTTGGGAGAGAAGAAGAGGATTCATACCTTTCCCAAGGGTATTAGCACCTAAGTGAATGTGATGGATTTGACAGGGATTTGAACTCGGCTCCCAGATTCCTCAATCCGAGCCGTGATCCATTACTCCACCATACCTCCTCGATAACCACTATGCTGTCTGTATATCCATTTTATATCACTGGTTTGTGTACCAATATCCAGTGTTTTTTTTTTATTAATTTTTTTTCTAACTATTAAAATGTAGGACTTTTGCAATTGAACAACCAATAAAAAATGTTAGGAGTAAAAAATAAGCATAAGTTATAGGAATAAAAACTATATTTTATTTATAGATAACAATCCATTAACAAAAACACTTGAAAAATGGAGACAACAAATCACCATATTATAAATTTGTATATCACATTAAGATAGGAACACATTCTACAAAATGTCTTTTTGTAAAATGAGTATAAAAATAAAATACATAAAATTCACTGGTAATGTGACAAGTGGTAAATAAAGAGTGTGATGTTTCTAAAAAGGTCAACTGATTTAAAAATTGGAGCATGTTTGGTCTAACTGGATTTGACATCAGGTCATATAAGCATTGTTTTTATCTAATGAAAACAATCTTATGACATGTGCCAATACCATGGTGATTGCTCAAAACAGGTTTTCTAACCTTAAGATTTTACTTTCAAAGTTCTGATTTTAATATTATAGCATTTTTTGTTCTAATAGCAATCCAATTCTGAACTTGGTTAAAATCTTAAGCAGTTCCTAAGTAATAAACTGCTTAGAATTGTATACACAATTTTAATGTTACCTATTAGTGCCTAAGTTAGAATAACTTCTGAATTTTAAGTTTTATGACATTAGTGTCTATCAGAAAATTAAAAACAAAAAAAAAGTCTGTTATTCAGTAACAAGATTCAGTTTTTATAGAAACAGGTTTTCTTTTACATTCCAAATTTTTATGTCCATGAAATAAAGGAATCAACTATCACTGGTTCCTTTTTTTTTTTTTTTTAACATTCCTAAATTTTTTTGTTCAGGGATAAGGGAATTTAAGAATGGATTTTGTGAACTAATGCAAGTTTAGTAATGAATTTATGCAAACCTTTGCAAACCCCTTGAATTATCACTGTTTCTACATTAAATCTCATCAATATAAAACCAAATTCTTTTTTCTTAACTGCTTTGTGATTTATTTGAAAATGTAAAACTGAGACAAAAGGTATAAATCTCACATGATTTTTTAATACTGGTGTTATTGCCAAACAAACAGAAAGGTAACCACTTGTTAGTCTAGTTTTGAAATGCTGGGCATTGTATGATTTGCACACCCAATGTATTGGTTAAAATATCTTCAAGATAAAGTGCACCAGTAAATAATACATTGCAAATTTGAAATTAACAGAGTAAACTGCTCTTCTGTTTTGGTGGCAGACATTTTTTCTAAAATTTATACTCCTCCTCAATAAACATGGTTGAGTTGATACAAGAAAATAGTCTTATAGTCCATATTGAAAGGAAAGACAAAAAAGTTTTGATTCAATGATATTTGCATTAGTTATGTAGCAACAAGCATAATTCTTTTAAGTGCTAATATTAAAGAGACATTACAATCCTTTCAATGCATTTTGGAACTTGTACTTTCAACACTAAAAATAGCAATTTGAATGAGTGTTAAAAGAATCCTGTAATCTGTGCCAGTTCAATCACAAAGCACATGAATTATCAATGAATAATTTTATTAATAGTTATAATGTTAATTTTTTTGAAAATATTTAATAAGCTTATTTTTTCCTTAGGTCTTACAAGTCTAAATAATTGAAGTGGTTGAAAAACTTATGTAACTAGTATACACATGAATAATATTCTTTGTCTATGTGTTCTTATCTTTTTTTGCATGTAGAAGTTGATCAGGAAGGAAGGTAAGTTCTTAAAAAATTTTTTTTTTTTTGCAAAATAAAATAATTTTCATCATTATGCTATGTACTTCTGTGTATATTTTATATTTATATGAATTGAAGATATCTGACAAAATGACTAGATAAGAAAGCAAGTAGGAAAACCTCTAAAAATTTATCATGTTTCGCTATTTATTTAGATGTTTACTCAGCCAAACAAAACAACATAGAATAAAAAAAAAAACTACTTCACATTATTCCACATCCAAAATTTATGATGAAGCTAAATGAATATCAATACATATTAAGTTTATAAAGGCTTTCTTACTTGTTGCCTATTTTATATCATGTGTATGTGTGTGTGTGTGCGTGCATTTGAGTTGTAAAGAAAACTATCCAATTGCTGTCTTTTATAAATGTTATAAAGTAGTAATGTATATACTCGTGGATAGGTCACCCCACCGGATAGGTCACCCCCCTACTTTATGGCTTAATAATTGATGATTTACTGTTGACTCACAGATAGGTCACACTATAATCTGGGGAGTTAGACTGCCCTTTTTAAATGTAAGAATTATCAGATATTTACCTTTATTTCAAAACTTACAATTATTAATACACTTTTGTAGATTGATTTTCATGTTCTGCATAATTTAGTACTTTTAATTTAAAATCTGCTTCATAAATATTTCTTTTACTCATGATTAGTGTTTGCAACAATTAAAATTATAAACTATAAATTTGGTGACGAACTATATCACTGCCCAATACAAAATAGTGCAAATGTTTTGGGTACTAGATTCATGCACTTTGTTATTTTGTAAATAACACTTAAGAACGCCTTTTAATGCTATATGAAACAACTATTAAAGAAAATTAACGGGGTGATTGACTGCCCCTGAACCCGTTTATGTGGGTTCAAAGAGGGAATTTTTTTTTTGTCAAAGAATATATTTCATTTCTTTAAGTCATATTTTCCAATGTATTTTTGACAAAATATATTATGCAGAATGAATTGCGGGACGCTTTTCTTTGTCAATAAACATCTACACGTGGTTCTTTAATTTATGTATTCATGTTCAGAGTTTCTATATCAGTCTGGTGTGAGGGACCCGACTGAATGGTGACTGATGGATCAATGAATATTTTATAATTTTATTTATTTATTGTGATGGATATGTGAATCTAGCAGCATGAGGTAAGTTTAAAGCAGTGAGTCAGTATATATGATAGATAAATTGTTTCTATATGGAGAAAAACCACAGCTTTAGTGTTTATGGGTATCATTTACGATTTCTCAGAAATCATAGGGTAGTGTTGTTTTACATTTATGTTCAGCGGATAGGTCGCACCCCTAATATTTTATGAAATTTTTGGTAAAAAAAGTGTGACCTATCTGCAAGTATATATGGTATGTCACAATAGTCAATACACAAGTAGTCACAGAAACTGAATATATAAAACTTACTGTTCTTACCTAAAGGAGACAATTTATAGTCTCCACTAATCGCATATTTAAATTAGACAACCAATACAAGTAACTAGGATAGTAATCGGAAATTATGTTTTTTTTTCTTTTGCTTGTAAATCCATGGAATCAAAGAAGAGGTAACCAAGAAACAGATTGTGTGGTGCTTCTGAATATCAATTGCCTCTTCTTGAAAACCTTATTTCGAGGCAGTTTTTATTAGTCTTTCATAGTAAAAGTACCAAGGTGTGTTTGTTGGTCATACTTACATACTGATCAGTTATCCGTTCTCCATAAATAATATAATCCTTGTGGCGCTCCAATTCACTTCCTCCATTGTGGGAGATAAGGATTCTTTTTAAGCAAACATGGCTAAGGCCACCTCCACTGTGAGGAACCCACCCCCCACTTGAGTCATCCCGCGTCATGACCTGTGCTCGCACTCGCACAAGGTAGTCGCCACTGCAATGAAAAAAAGAAAAAATATATATATATATATATATAGATATATATGAATATATATCTGAAGCAGGAGTTGACCAAATAGAATGCAAACAATACCTCCCAAAATACATCAGTGAAATATCCTGAAATTTAAAGAAAAAAATATATGAATATAAAAGGGGACTTAAGATGAAAACAACACACCTGTGTCACCAGAACCTTCGTAATCAGAATTTTGACTTGAAAAATGGTGTATTAATAAAAAGTGAATATAATTCACACATATAAAGTGCAATGATCTACAAATCCCCTATGATTAATATATAACTATGCTATTCAGGTTATCGCCTATTTTTCCTAAACTAATATTGAAACAATGTGGGATGTGAAAACCTTAAAAATAAATGAATAAAAACAGAGTTGGAATTACTTACAATATCTAATAAGACAGTTAAAGTAAAAATCAAGCATTCATCTGCTTAACGTGAATTGCATTTTGTCTTGCTAATGTACAGTTTGTCGAAATAAAATTCTTTTTTCTGATGATGCTAGTTCATTGCTGAAACATGTCAAAATAAAGTTTTTCAAATTGTCTTATTTTTATGATCATTAATAAATGTGCAATTCATAAATGGAGGTATCATAATATTTACCAGCAAAGAAAACAAAATTGGCAAATTTAGTTCAACTTTCAGCTGAAACAGCTGCTCTAATGCATTTTGGGAAAGAAATGAATCCAATTTTCCATGAACTCCATTCCATCATCTTCACAGAATGTCTTGTCAATTGTATGCCACAATGGCTGCTGGAAAAGATAGTGAGCGCATTGGTAAATATCTTCCAACTTTCTCACTTGCCTAGACAGTATCAGTAAGAATAATTTGAAAATGAGAAAACAAGTTAGTTGGTAGCATAATATTTTTTATTCTTCTGGATGTTCAAAACCATTAGCTAGGTACAAAAATAATTGTGGTTTTTAACCATTAATTTAAAGCAATATATCTCAATTTAAAATAAAATTTATTAATGGGAATTAAAACCATGAGAATACATACTTTGTTCCAATAAAAAATAAATCTATCTATTCTGATAGCACAGAATTCCTGAAACCAATGAATTCTCTGAAGGTATTCTGAGCTGCTGTTGGGTTGTTGAAGACCATCACTTGCAGGAAATTTTCAAGATGCTTGAAAAAAGTGGTTGTCAATCAGTTTGGTGGATAAGCTGGATGAAGTAGAGTTTTGTAGTCAAATTCATTCATTTTCTGCAAAGTCATTTGCTAGACATTTGCTTTGGCATGGTCATACAGAAGAATTGATTCTTGACCATTAAACATTATGGAGTTGTAAATGTTTCAGTTTTTGGTACATTTTGTTGATTACCCACCAATATTTGTATGCTGTGATGGTTCTTCCAGGGTTCAAGAAGTTGTAGTGAAGCTGCAAATTCCACTTGTAAACCACTAAACAGTGACTATACAAGCTTCTTTTGATGCAGCTTTGGTTCAGAGAAATATAGAATCCATTTTTCATTATATCAAAATACAATAAAGAAATGGACTGTTTCTATTGTATAAAAGAAGTGAAAGTAAACTTTGTAACTGTAATATATTGTTATTTTTATTTAAATTATGTGGAACCCATTTGTTAAGCAGTTTTAAAGCTTCTAATTTGGTGCAAATATTTAACAAGTGCTGAATGGTTAACATCTAGTTTTGCAACCTCAAGTTATCTTCTGTAGGTCACTTTCAGTAATGTTCCTCAATTGGTTGTTAATTGCAGGACATCTGTAACCCCCTTATCTTCAATTTTCTGTTATGAAATTTTCAGAACCAATGTTGAGCCGTATGTTCATTGATAGTCTCTCCTGGCTAAATGTTTGATTGATACTGCAAGCTTATGCCCTTACTTTGCACCAAAGTTGAAAACAACAAAATCCACAATTATTTTTGCATTAACATTTTTACAATAAATACTTCAAAATAAATCATGAACAATTTTTCACACATGTAAGATTTAAAACATAGGTTTTCAAAGTATACTTTTTCTAGATTTTTTGTAATTCAGTGTAAAAAGTTTGATCATCTTAATCAGTATATATTACACAAAGTCACTTAAGTACTAATGGAGAGTTTTTAAAAAGGATAGGGAAAATAAAGGGACACACAAAAAAGCAAAAAGAAAGGTTAGAGAAAAATATTTCCTACAACATTGACAACATTCATGAAAAATTCATTGAATTCAAATCTTATGCCATAACATTAAATTTAGTTTATCAATAATAATAATACTAGTAGTAGTAGTAGTAGTAAATGATGATGCAGTGTTGCTATTTTAGGTTTCAGTTATATAAAGAACATTTCAGTAAGAGTGACATTACTCAGTCATTACTCAATTAAGTTCATCCATTGTAAAAAAAAAAATAGATTATAGTTATGTTATTTTAATTTATATGCTGAATTTAACCAAGTAAATATCAAATGACTTAATGACACTTGATGAACATTCCTTTTTTTATATTGATTTTCTAAGCATGAATTAGATGTGGCACAAGGCCAAAGGTATGGGGCACCCAGTGAAGATCGAACTCACTACTCAGTCATAATTGTTCTAGCAAGACAAGATTGCTAACCATTATGCCACACTGAGGTGCCCACATTCCTTTTTTTATATTATGGAAAGTAAATTATAGAACTCTTGATAAACAATTTTTTATCATCACAGAATAAATGTAAAAAATTTTTTAAAAAGAACGTGTTGGACTATTTTTTTTCTATTAAAAATATTTAATACTATGTTTTAACTCATTGAAAAACTCAAGTTTGGTCACGAGTAAGCCTGAGTTTTTCTTCTTTTTCATGAGATATTTGAGATGATGATAATAATAATAATAAAAACTAGACAAATACAAAGATCTGAAGATGAAAATAGAAAAAAAATGGGGTACTTAAAAGCTAAAACTGTTCCTGTTGTGATTGGAGCTTTGGGTCTGATAAAGAAAGGGAACTAAAATATATGAATTGCAAAATGTCATACTCATGGGTATTTCTCACATATTACATAGATTTCTCTCTATGCAGTGACCAAAATTACGTATTTTTTCTTCCTAATTGCATGGCAACTTATGTTTGCATCTCCTGATATGAAAAAAGACCCCAAAAAAACACTTGTTGAGACTTGGAGGTAACTCATACTACATAGTGGCAGAAACCCACTATCACAATAATAATAACTAGTTTTAACCAATGAAAATTACAGTTTTTCCTCTTTTAATATTCTGATTAATCTTAATTAAGTTAATGATTGAATAAACTCATGGCAATTTCTATGACAATAAATTATCTGTAGAAATTCCCCTATTGCATCGATAAATGTTTGAGCTTAACAACTTTAACAAAACATTGCAATAACAATCATAAATATGAATGCTGGTCATTACTTTAAGAAGTGGGTACAAATGAAGATTTGAAATTGACAACTTTTTTCCATTTCACTGAAAGAGCCATTAAACACTTCTATATTCCCTTCTTTCTTTAATTCATTTTCTCACTGAAACCAAGTAGTGTCTTTTCATATCTTGCTACACAATCAAAATGGAATAGTCCATTATTTATGCGGTATTGACAGAGCATAACAGTTGTGTGAACTAACAAAAGGAGGGACAATCACAATTATAATAGGATATTGGGATACAATAAATATCTCATTCAATACCACAGATTTGCTTGCCAGTTGCCAGATGTTAACCAGTCGGGCATGTTCCCTAGGGGCTGACACAATGTGCATTTCTACTCATAAGTGGGAGTATGGCGGGAGGCATTATGGCTGGGTATCAAGAGGGGTGTTCCTTTAAGCTTAAAGGATGAGGCAGCCAAGGTGACATGGTAATCATCTTTAATTGGGAACATCTTTAATTAGAAACTGTCTTAGCAGAATGGGTCAATAGACCTGAAAGTATTTCTAACTTGGCACAACAAAACCTGTCACCATATGATGCACATTTAACTATAATGCATGTGCCTGACTGAGTGCCATAATGGGGATATTGGGCTTTGTATATTTGTACCCCAACGACACTTTGCTAGAGTTCTGCTATCTCACTTAATAATAATAGTGTCTTCAAATTTTTATTCTAAAACCATGTATCAGTTCTTCAGTGTTAATTGCTTTGACAAAGGTATTAAAACAAATGATAAACAAAACCTAATGAAAATCTCATAGGACACATGTTCTGTGCCTGTGTTCCCATCTCCTTTTATCACAATGACATGAGTTGTGGAGTAAGCATATCACAGAGTGCTGAAAAAAGACTTGTCTTGAAACATTTATAGTGGAAGAGGGATGATACTATTTGATTAGCATGGTTGTTAGGATGGAGAAAATTCAGCAACTCAGAAATAGTAAAGAACTAAACAAGTTTGAAAGGAGAATAATGAGACGCAAATTTGATGTGCACCAAAATCTGAAGAAAATAAATAAAACAAAATTTACAATAATTCACATCTACTCACCATATTCATTTGTTATTAAGAGAGAAACATTTTTCTCTGACTTTAGCCCCTGGGAGTAAATGGGTCACACAGAAATGCCATCTACTTGGAAACAAAATTTCTAATTCCAAATCTTCCAGCTCTCTTCCAATTGAAAAAGGTTTTATTTAGAGTGTTTTCCAAACAAGAAAGTCTAGTTAAACTTCAAATTGAGCAAATTGGCCAAATGTGGAAAACTTTTCACACTTTTGTAATCTGCAGAAATTATTTGTTATCAAAGTTAAATAACTTTTTTGTGTAAGGTTTCTATTTAAAAAATGAGAAAAAAAGTTACCAAAGTATTGTCTAAATGTTAACTTAGACACAGACACACACACACACCTCATGGCTAGCATGTTTTTTTGACCTTTTAATATCAGTCCTCACTGAGAGCTCCACTAATGTAACCTTACATCATCTGATAATTTTGATAAAACACCAAAATTGTTCTTAAAGGTATTTAAGAATAAAAAATGGGAAAAGTATCAAG